AAACTTTAGAAAAAGTTGGAATTTATCTGCCACATTCCGTATTTGCTCATGGACAACTCTATGTAGCATTCTCTAGAGCAACCAAAAGGGGAAGTGTCAAAGTTAAGATTGATGAGCTCAGCAATCAAGGACATCTTATTGAGGGAAATCCTAAATCTTTTACGACAAATGTCGTATACCGAGAGGTTTTGTATATTGATGAGCTATAAAATTGTATGAGAGCCAATAATGGCGGGTCAGGGATGGATACTTCAACCTTAAAAAAAATATATATATTCTAAATTTATGAATGAAAGCTTATTAGAGCGGGTAAATGATGGGGTTTTTTTATTTGAAAAGGGTATACATTTTTATTCATAATACAGACTGACACACATAGACACTGAACTATATAATGTTCAACTGGCCTTTAGATTGCTATGTCGCAAAAAGGAACAAGATTGTCAGTTTTGACCTGAGGAAGTTGTGTACAGAGAGGGTTTTTTAGTGGGTGAGACTACTCCGCCACACCTGGTGACGGGGTGTACATAACGTATTTTTCTGTTTCTTGCAACATACATCATATCGTCAGTAATTATACGTTATATATTACATGAAACGATTACTTACATTGTGTGAGAAATATTTGATAGAAATAAAACAAAGTTTGCTGTTGAATCACGATATTATATCGACACCCCTTAGTTTCAACGTGTATATTTTTCCATCATACAGTGAAAGAGATCTAGAAATATTGTAGAAAAACAGTAGTACGCGATATAAAGAGATAAGATAGAGAAAGAGAGTCCTTTTTGGACGGGAAGTGGCTCGTTATTGCGATCATTACGACCGCTGTCTTTACGCGGCATTATATCGTTCGAGGCAAATCGATTTTCTCCACGGGCGTGGTTGACGATCGACGATCGCGATTTCCTCCGCTCTGGGATGTCGATACGTTGCCAAGCTTAATAGTCTGTGTACATTCGAGCGATGAAATTGCTTCGGACCCTTTATATCTCTCTTTGTTCACTCCTCGACGAGCAAGTGTTTTTTTTTTTGCTCTCTTCCGCCGCCCGGCAGATCACGTCGTCGCTCTCGTGATAGTACGTCGCCCTTTAATGAACACCTCGCGATCGGATATCTTGAAGTAATTCGCCGATACAAATGAAACTTAATTCCAGAGACGCGTACACTGCTGTCCATACATAGATAAACGGATTAAAGTTTATAGAATCGTTTAACTCCTTTCATGAAAATATAAATTAATATACTAAATGAAGATAATATAAAGATATTTTAGAAGAATAAAATAAATATAAATGGGTACAACATGGTTGCAAACTGGTTGCATTTTTTCACATCTATAGAAATATTAAGTAATGTTCAATAGTAATTTTTCATCTATAATATTATATCTATAAATATTAATGCTAACTTTTATTATTTGTGTCCTTTTGTTTATCGAAATGTATTTTAAGAGATGATTTTGTTTTCCGTTTTCTTGTCGGATTGGATTTTTTTCTGTCGAGTGCGAGAACGCTTTCAAAACAAACATTTCGAGAACGAGTTGTAATTCAAGAAATTATGGTGGCTTTATTATATCGGTCGTCCGTAATTTCCGTAGAGCATCAGGCCAAAGCGAGGTAAATGCTCCTTGGTAAAGCCTCAGTTGGAAAGGTTAACGTCGCAGGGTGATTCAGGCTGTTTACCTTAGGTGTTCCGAGCTTCGTGCGCTGCTATTAAGCCATCCCTTTTGTTTCTTTCAACAGACGGACATCCGTAGAAAACTTTTTTACGATTATTTCATAAAACATCGCGGACACTTACCCTCTGTTAGGCTCTCCCGTTCGTTTAAGTGATATAAGTCGACAGTACTTCGATATAAGTGAAATTAGCCATTTCTGAGCAGGCACCGAAGAAAAGAGAGAGAGAGAGAGAGAGAAGATAATAAGATATTAAACACGTTTAATGAAGATGATGCAAATTAAGAGAAGTGCATAAACATGTTAAAGCCATGTCGATTCCATCACGCTTAAAAAAGCAGATTAACTTTTTAGAGGATTAAATTCAGAAATTGTTTAATCATCTTTCATTGCATCAAATTATAGGCAGATAAATACAATAAAACCACATAAATATCTGGTTGAAATACACTATTCTATAATCTAAAATAATTCTTATAATTATAATAATATACGTGAAAACTTTTACAATTATTGTTATAAAAAAGAAAAATTTTATATTTTATGTAAATTATTTTTTTTTCAATTCTTTGGTTATACATATAATACACAAACATTATCTCATCATGCAATGTGAATTGCAATCGCTAATAATTTCACTAAGATTCCTTGGAAAGGAGGACTTTGGATTTCTATCGAAATTGAAATCGTCGACAAGGCTGCCAATCTGCCTTCAATATCGAATTTCCCTCCAAATCCTTTTACTCGCATGTGTGGAAACTCTCAACCGGAGTGAATACTTTTTCGAGGATAGCATAGAATATTCTTACGCATTGTAATAATAAAAATAATTTTTTTGCAGTATTTTTACAGAGTGGACGAAATAAAGCGTGATGAATTTTTATCTCAAAAAATATTGTTTCCAGAGAAAAATGTTTCAAATAAAAATTGTAATATTTCAAGAGGGACACAAGTTGATGTTATAGGAATGTTTGTAGGTAACGGTTTTCAAAGTTATTGCAAGATCAACTTTATTTTTTTTTAATGGAATCCTTATTTTTTATTGCATATTTTTATAGTCCTTCTTGAGATATTTTCAAAACACTATTATAAAGTATTTTTTTATTAAGTACTTTTTGAGTTATTTTATATTTTATATGAATATGATTTTTAGTATAAGAAAAAATTATGTCTATTATTACGATACGTAAAAATATTACATGTTAGCGGCATGCGCGAAGGAAAAACGCCACCGCGCCGCCGGCGCCATAGTGGCGGAGCGCTCACGCACACTACCAGACGCGCAGCTCACGGACGTGTGACCGGCTAAAGATCGGCGCTGATTGGCCAGACTTTACTAAATAATAACTCCTTTATTAAGCGTTATAAAAAAAATGGTTCAGGACTTTACGGACCCTATATATATGTATATACAGGGTGTCCGACAAGTAAATGGCCAAACAAAGGTAGAGATAGATTGGGTCGAACTGAGTCGAAAAGTCCTGAACCATTTTCTTTTATAACGCTTAATAAAGGAGTTATTATTGATTAAGTATGCCCAATCAGCGTCGACCTATATATATATATATATATAGGGACCATGTCACGTTGCATCCCCCCATCGTTACGATGCCCGGCAGTTGACCAATCGGAAATCTGCCGCCCGGCGAACACAAGGGCAGAAGCGCTTAGCGCCCTTTTTAATCGCATCTAATTAAACGGCTGTACAGCTGCTGTTACGGTCCGCGCCGAAACCAAGCGGCGCCGAGCTCTCCTGAATGACGCCAAACATCCGTCGCCGAAACGTCGCGTAGTTTCCCCCACCATCAAGAACTACGCGAATACTTTAATTAGGCGGTGTAAAAAGACCGCCGAATTAGAACTCGATACCAGATTGGTATCAGAATCCGCTCGAGCCGTACGCACGAGATATTCCAAGAAACCGATCCTCGAAATCGCAAAACAAACGGAAAAGGGAAGTTGACGAGTTCGCAGCCTCCGCCGAGCATTCTCGACATCCGCTCCGACTGTGAATTTTTCCAGCCTGGCCGCACCGAACGAGCGGAGTATTTGCCGCTTTTCTCGAGAGTACTCGAGCACACGGTCTACCATTCGACCGCTCCGACCAGCCGGACCGTGGGACAGCGAGTTCGGTTCCCCGCCAAGTCTTCTCGGCACCGCCGGCCGTCCTCTAGATCCATGCACGAAATAGGAACGGAGAGTTCTCCGTTCCGGTCGGGATTTCTCGATTTCCGGACACAATCCTACAACATTTGGGAATACGCGCCGCGTCATTATCCATCGACGCCTCTGCACGCTATGAAAAAGTATGTAATTATTTACAATGTACTTTTTTAAACAATTATTTGTTTTTTTCTTACACTAATTGATTTGTCTCATTATTCTGTACATAAAAGTATTACGGTAAGATTATCGAAAACTAAATATTTTACGAGATATTTTATTTTTTATATCAAAATATGTCAGATTAAAATGTAAAAGAAATCAAAAATACTTAATGAAAAAATACTTTATCATAGTGTTTTGAAAAGCTCTCGAGATAAGTTACAAGAATATGCAATAAAAAGTAGACAGTTCCATTTAAAAAATTAAAGGTGACCTTCACGTGACCTTCAAGCAATTATTCAAGGTCAAACCAATGATATCATCTTATGGCCCCCTCGAAACCATACAACTTTTGTCTAAATCATTTTTTTCTAAAATGCATTGTTTACGAGATATTCTACCTGTTACGTTTGAAATTTAACACCCTGTATATTTAAAAATACACAAAAATATATATTAATGGAAACAAAGTTTTATATTTAATATTTTTGATAGCAAATATGTGTGGCAAAAGCTAGAATATATTAAGAGAAAGTTAGAAAATATAAAATATCGACAAATACAAGAATTTAAACAAAAATTACATTATGAAATGTACTTTTAGTGTAGAATATGTTTTGATAGTTTCCACAAATAGTTTACCAATTTAAATGCTGACATATGTTGATATTGAGCACAACTTAGACGAGTGTTTCTCAGCCCTGTGTACAATAGAATGAAACATATGCGTCATCGAAAAGTAGCGACTGCGACTGCGCGACTATTGTGTAATAATGTCATCTTATGAATACATTTTTGTGAGAAAAGAACTTCTGTCAAATTGCTTTCAATGTCAAATCGATCGTTTATTCATGAATTTTCACCTAAGAAAATGTCTTAAATTATATAATTACGTAATTGCCTAATTTTCCACGCAATTTAAACTAGTCACTACATGCAATATTGACTATTTCTTATTTATCGAATTAAGAAGATTACTGATGATAAAATTTATACTATGAGAAAAAAGTCGTGTATGAAGCGTCGATAAATCGAGAAAGGATAAATGAATATTCGAGTATTGCTTTTCCGTCAAACTTGTGTCGACAGTCACAGAGAGATGATCTGTCTCGTGACTCAACATTTTAACATCAACCGAATTCTGTTGCTTATCATTGGCTTGTGGCCTTATCAGCGATCGCCACTAGTTGAATTTCAATTAATTATACTTTACGGTACTCTGATGACTTTTATCGTATTTCAGGTACGTCAGCATTTCTATGTTGTATTTTATTACGGAATCGAGCATATTATACTGACGTATAAGAATTAATGCATTATTTAAATTTTGTCTCGTATGTAAGACTCAAATATAATTATATTGCATAATAATTGTTTTAGATAAACTTCCAAAAACGATAAACCTCCGATTGCGCTGAAATTTTAACCAAAGCTTGTCCTTGACATGAGTATAAAGCACCTTGAGGGGTTTTTGCCGACGAAGCCCCGTTTGCCCCCTATGCCCCCTCAAAGTTTCAAACATTTTTACTGTATATCACGGAAAATATTAATTTTACAAAAAAAAGTTTTAGACGAAAAATGAAGCCCTTAAAAAACTCTACAAAAAAGGTTATATACATTTTTTACATAAACCTATTATTTTAGAAGTTACCTGATAAAATAATAATTTTAACGCTATCATGTTAATACAATGTATCGGACCTGATTCATAGAGAAATATATTAATAAATTTCCTTCAGTTGTATATTCCCAAATCAATTTCTTCTTGTAAACCCATGTGATACCTCGCTTCGCGTGGAAAAATGTATGCGTGGAAACAGTGGGTTCCGCCCCCCTACGGGGGGGCTCCACTACTAAAGAACTAGACACATTGGTATGGATTAAACCTCGCTTAGCGTGAAAACTTGTAAAGTTTTTTCAAGTTTCCTCAAAGTTTATATAAAAAACGCATATGTATATCTATATTTTCTTTACATTAATACAATATATTTTTACACGAGAACGTTAAAATTATTATTTTATTACATAACATCCAAAATAATGGGTTTACGTAAAAAATGTGCAGAACCTTTTTTGTTCTGTTTTTTAAGAACTTTATTTTTTGTTTGAAACTTTTTTCTCTAAAATCAATATTTTTGGAAATATACAGTAAAAATGTTTGGAACTTCGAGAGGGCATAGGGGGCAAACGGGGCCTTGTCGGCAAAAAACCCTCAAGGTGTTTTATACTCAAGTCAAGGACAAGCTTTGGTTAAAATTTCAGCGCAATCGGAGGTTTATCGTTTTCGGAAGTATACCCATTGTTTTTTCTAATTATTGTTGTTTAAATTATATAAAATTATTAATTGTGTATCTTTTTTGCTAAATTATTGTATATAATAGATTAACGAAAAATTGAGAGTTTATGAACTGATCGAATAATGTAATTTTGCCAATGATATTACATTATATAATATTATTATTTACAGTTAACATCATTTACAACATCGGAATGCACTCTGAATCTTATCTATACAGTTTTATCTTCTGCATTCTTTTTCATTTGTTTGGCGATTAAATACAATTCATTTTGGATTAACGCCGATATTGTAAGCATATAAATTATTAAACATCACTGATAAATGTATTTTTGAATGCAATATAGGCCGGTTTTCGTATTCGTTATTCTTGATCAATATAGTTTATTTTTTTCAACATGTTCACTTTTTATTCTATAATCATTATAATGTAAGACTACAGAAAAACATAAAGTAGACAAACTAGTGTGAATCCAATCAAGAAAGAACACGGAAGCTCAATTATAATAATTTTCAAATATTGCAAAGAAAAACAACATACAATAATATTGTTAACATGATAGTTAAAAAGTTCGCTGAAGCAACTTCAAGATGTGTGTAATGAGATAACAGACAAAAATGAAATCGCTATCATAGAAAAGTATGGACGCAAAGCGAAACGTATTACGATTGCATTAATATGTAAGATAATATTTCTCGATTTTTATTTTATGTTCCAATATCTTTTCATATTCAAAAAAATAAATTGTGAATGTAAAAAAACTTCAAAAATTACGGAATAATATATCTATTGATTTATATAATTATTTTGAAATCTTTCTTAGTACTTGGCGTATGCTATCAATTTATTTTTATTTTGCTATATATTTGGCCGTACATTCATCACATTATGGTTCTCACAAACAAATCTCGATCACATGCTTCGGTGCATATTATGACAGAATATTTTATTGATCAAGAAAAATATTCCTATTTAATTATGCTGCATAGACACGCAGCATGTTGCATAGGCTCATTGGCAATGGTAGCGACAGGAACTATGCTCATAACATATCTTCAACATACTTGTGCAATGTTTAATATCGCCTGGTAAGTAAAAAGAACAGAGGTGGATACAACAATTTAAATAATATTTTTATACAAATCATACAATATATATATTATAGCGACAAAATTATTTACAGCTACCGTATCGAGCAGGCAATTGGTATTTCACAAAAGACTAGTTTTAAAAATGAGGAAAACAGTTGTAAGCAGATAATTCGTGCTGTAAACATTCATTGTAACGCTATAAAGTTAGTATTTTTGTTATATTAATAACAAGTATTGAATACACATGATAATATAGTATAAACTTTTTCATGTTTAAAGGCTTAGCAATTTTTTAATATCCAATTTTGAGGGATCGTTCTTTTGCTTGATAGCGGCTGGTATGGTTTGTTTGTGCTGTAATCTTCTTCGGGTAAATTTCAAGTACAAATTCTTGCACGGACAGTGTGCCACTTTGTAAAATTAAAATTAGTCAACAAACCCGCATAGATAGAGAAAAATATAGAAATGATTTTAATCTACTGACATTTTATAATATGCATAGTACAATGTCATGTGTAGAAAATTGATGATAAGCATGTAACATGTGTCTCATAATTTTCAGGTCGTGTCATATACCGATAACATTGGGCAACTTATACTATCTCTAAATATTTTAATTATTCTCTATTTGTACTTGTTTCTATCCAATTATACTGCACAAAAAATTACAGATCACAATGAATATGTGTTTGTAACAATGTAAGGAAAATTTTAACTTCATATACTTACGAGTATATTTGTGTTTTGTAGATATTTATAATATAAGCCAAAATTAGAGATTTCTGATAAAATTAATACGCATTAAAAAAGAAACAAATATGCATGTGTATATATGAGTATGCGCATGGTGCATGTATTAACAAAAATTATTTACAAATTTTATTTAATTAGAATTTTCTTTGTTCATTATTTCGTAGATATAATGTCCGTTGGTACATGGCTCCAATACGTATACAGAAAATGATACTTTTTCTGCTGCAAAGGGGTAATAAAAGTTTCCATCTGATTCTTGGTGGAGTATTTGTAGCGTCCTTGCAAAGTGCCGCTTCGGTGAGACATATATGCAAATATATCGCACATACACAATGTCTCGCAATTTTTTCAATAATATATACTACTAAAAAAATAGGGAACACTCTGCATACTCTAAAAATTGGGCTACTTTCAAACCGCTAAAACTCGACGAAAAATCATCGTAGACAAAAAATTGCGAAAAAGCATTTTGAAGTTTGAATTTTCAACCGTAACGTGATATCGATAGTTCAAAAAAATTTTTGTTTTTTCCCATTTCTAGAAAATACAGGTTTAGTTCTAAAATCGTGTAACTCGGTCAAAAAAAATCATAGAAAAATTTAAAAAAGCATTTTGTAGGCAAAATGTTGTAGTTTATGGAACTTGAGTTGAATTTTTCAAGAAAAATTTTTTTATCGAGCTGCAGAATGTCAAAAATACATAATTTTAAGGAACAAAACAATGGGTTCTTTTTTAAAGCATAGAAGAAAGAAGATCAAACAATTTTTTAAAACCACCGATAGGGCGTTAAAGTTGAAACTCCGAGCTTTAGAACGCTTTTTTAATTTTTTGTCTACGATGATTTTTCGTCGTGTTTCAGCGGTTTGAAAATAACCCAATTTTTAGGGTCTGGAAAGTGTTCCCTATTTTTTTTTTTTTAAGTAATGTATAACAAGTGAACAGAACAAACAAGATACGTTTTGTTACAGCTGACGAGTACTTCTATATCATACTTCACTGTTCTTTATTCTACCCGGCAAGATTAAAAGTACCATCATACCAAAGTAATTCTCAATTATTTTAAGTCCAATGAACACGTACTGATTGTCCGTGAAAGGTTCAGATATAGCATTATACATATTATTCTCGTAGAAAAAGAATCTCTATTTTTAATCAAAGAAATTATTTTCACATATTTTAATGTATAGATATTTAAATATAAAATTTAACGATAACAACATTGAATATAATATAAATGTGTAAATTAAATGTAATATAATTTTAGATGGAAATATTAAAAAAATGCAAAATCATGTTTTTATAATTAGTATCTTTCCTCACAAAAATGCAATTAATAAATATCTTTTATTAATATTTCTTTTTAATATTATTTAATTGTATTGTATATATTGTATACTTATTTCAAATCCAAAAGAGAGCAGTGTGTAATAATATCATTTAAAACTCATTATTCTTAAAGGACACCACACGTTTTAAATGTAAAAGTGGCTTTGGTCTAATTAGCTGAAATTGAAATATTTGTAATTTAGACAGTGCTGATTAAAAGTCTTCATGAACATAGAGTCCAAATATCAAAGCAATACATGCCAAGATAACAAAGTGAATGTCATTGAAAACCATTAAAATACGAGATTTCCATATTTCCTGCTCCATGTTATAGTTCTCGTTTTCTTTATGTTACAACACAGTCTAAACACGTATAAATATTTTTTGTACGTATATAAAGTGACTTATTTTAAATGACGTAATAATATTTCTCAAAAATTAAAGCTTTGAAAATCGAAAAATGGTTCCTTCAAAAAGTTTGTGATTTCGAGAGGGACATAAGTACCATTTGTTTGATCTTGGATGAAAGTCATGAGATTATTTCAAAGTTATCTTCATTTTCTTACATGAAACTACCCGAATTTGTTTATATAAAGTGACTCTTCACAATATTTGGCTTAAGAAATTATGACAATAGGATGTCCAAAAATTTTTAAAAGTTTGCAATGATACTCAGTTTAAGCCATCCTATAATTTATAATTTTAATTTTTAAATTCTCCATGAAAACTTTTGAGCAATATCATCTAAACTACAACATATTTTTATTTCTGTCAATTTGACCGAAGCCACTTTTACATTTAAAATGTGCGAAGTTCTTTGAAACTGAAGATAATATTAATGATAAACTATTTAGAAAAAAATCACATTTCTATCTCTCTCTTTTTTGTCTTTCTTAACTATTTTGTAGACAAAAGCTTAATTAATTAATAATTATGTAAAAATATTGGAAAGATGTACAAATGTGCATGAAACACGATAGTCTCTTCAATACAAATTTTATATTTATCAATAAATTTCTAATTAATACGAGTTTTAAATGGAACAACCAGTATATTTCTCTGTAGGATTGACCGTAAATTACGACTGCACGAATAATATAGGGTGTTAAAATAGAACTCTGCAAAGTATCAAATACGCATTTGTCATCAAGATAAATTTTCGTTCGTAAAGTTTTTCTCTATGGGAAGTAAACATGTGTTATATTTCCGTCGGCGTTGAAATTGACCGCTTGATTATACATTCTTTTGCGAGGGAAAGTGTAAATTTCCAAGTGTTTCGATCTCACGGTGATATTACATATTATGCTGTATTTATATTAAATTAAACAATTTGTATTAAAATTTAAGGTAGCAAAATAAAGCTATAGTATAATGCAGTTGGTCGATCGAAAAAAAGGAAATAAGCAAATCAATTTATTTTGCATTAGTAAAGGCATTGCGACGAAATTCATTTTATGATTGACCGTTAAATGTACGTACCCTGCGTTGATCAGATATTTATGAGACTTCCACCAGTTCGACATGATTATTGTCGGGTTTTATCTATTTTGTTATGATAGTGAATAACATGTCAATAGAGCAATTTACGGGTTATTTACGGATTCAATGAACAATCGATTGATTGTTCTTTCAGTTCCACCAAATATCCATTGCTCTTCTACGAATCGTTCTGTTATTTTTTCTTTTTTCTATTTTCACTTCACCAATTTCGACAATTTCCCTTTCATCTTCAATCATTTCCGAAATCGATTTTACCCGCTGATTGCTTAACTATCAAAAAAAAAATTATATAAAAGCACTAACACGAATGTATAATAATAATTAAAATAAAGAAAGAAATATTAATAAGTTACCTCATAATAGGAACTCGAGTAATCAACAACACTATGTGCAGAAAGTTCAAGTTTGCATTCAAGGAAATTCTGACGTGACGCCTAATTGTAAGAAAACATGCGAATCGACATATCGATTGGTCAAATTCAAACGGCTTTGTGAGAACCATGTATGATGAAAAGCACTCGATTTAATATCGCATTTTTTCAAACAACTTCTTTATGATTGTTGCAAACATACTGAAAATTATAGCAACGAAATAACAATGTATTGTGATTAAACTGTATTATATGTTGTTACATTTAGAACAATATGCAGAAATATGGAGAACTCTATGTGTTATCAAATAATCGACAAGTTTGTAATTATCAGAAAAACTCTTTACAACTCCTACACTGTCCTACAGTTTTATTTCAGATTATAGTATATGTTAATTCACTGTAGAATTGCTACACTCTAAGTAAAAGTACAAGACTACGCTATGATTATCATGAATAATAACTTGCAAAGAATATAAACAGATACATCGTATTGAATGCACTAGCAGTGAAAATCGTGCATATTTTTCGTTACGAAATTCGAAAAAAAACATTATATAGGATATTTAGTTTAGGACATTATGATTACCATATCAAAAGAATATTCACGAATTATATAATATATGTAGTTTTCGGACATCATGTACATTTTATAAAACGTATTCTTAACAGATTCGTGTACTAAATTGAATGCGTGGATGAGGGAGGGGCTTTTTCACATATACAAAAACTGATACTATTCTTGTTTACAAAAAGAAACTAAAATTTTTGAACATCTAATAGTTATTGGTGGATTGTTTATAAGATTCTTAAAAAAATTTGCCACGGTAAAAATTTTATCAAAATTGACTTAATACAAAATATATTTCAAACATTTAAAGAAAATATCTGTTATTGAGAATGGTCAGCGCGACAGTTTTATACTTCACATTTTTCTTTATTCCACGACACAATAACATACCAATATCGATGAACTATATTATACAAAATCGATCTAATGCAGATTCGATATATCATATTATATGGATATATGTAAAACAAAGTTTTAAATTTAATATTTTTGATAGCAAAAGTGTGTGGCAAAAGCTAGAACAATAAGAAAATTATTAAAAAATATATTATAAAACATCAACGAATATAAGAATTTAAATAACAAGTACACAGTAAACTGACTTTTGGTAGCAACATGTTTGGTAGTACCAATTTAAACACGCTGACATATGTTGATATTTAGCACAATAGACAAGTGCTTTTCAGCAGTGTACGCAATAGAATGAAACAGATGCGTTACCGAAAAGTAGTGATTGCGACTGCGCGACTATCGCATAAGAATGTCTTCTTATGAATTCTTTTCTGTGAGAAAATAACTTCTGTTAAATTGCTCTCAATGTCAAATCGATCGTTACTCAAATTAATAAAAATGCGATGATAATAAATAATTATTCACTTTTCGTAAGAATATACCTTTTTTTCTAATGCAATATACATAATACTGATACATCTAATGTGTGCTTTATATATATAAATTCTTTTCTGTGAGAAAATAACTTCTGTTAAATTGCTCTCAATGTCAAATCGATCGTTTATTCATGAATTTTCACCTAAGAAAATTTCTTAAATTATATAATTACATAATTGCCTAATTTTCTACGCAATTTAAAGTAGTTACTATACATTATTCACAATTTTTTTTAATCGAATTAAGAAGATTACTGAAGATAACATTTATACTATAGAAAAAAGTCGTGCATTAAGCGATTGAAAAATCGAAAAGGGGAAATGGGTGAATATTCGTGTACTGCTTTTCCGTCAAATTTGTGTCGACAGTCATAGAGAGATGATCTGCCTCGAGACTCAACATTTTAACATCAACCGAATTCTGTTGCTTATCATTGGCTTATGGCCCTATCAGCGATCGCCTCTAGTTGAATTTCAAGTATATTTATTGTATGGCACTCTGATGACTTTTATCATATTTCAGGTACATCAGTATTTCTCTGTTGTATTTTATTACGGAATCGGGCGTATTATGCTGATGTATAAGAATCAAAGCATTATTTTAATTTTGTCTCGCATGTAATACTTAAATATAATTATAGAGAATAATAATTGTTTTCTGTAATTGTTGCTGTTTCAATTATATATAATTATTAATTGTGTTTCTTTTCTGCTAAATTATTGTATGTAACAGATTAACGAAAAATTGAGAATTTATGGACTGATAACACTGGTCGACAAAATGAAACTTTTATTTTATTTTAAGTTTTATCAAGTTATTTCTGGTAGATTTTTTAGCGCTTATTACAAATCTGGCCATAAAAATGGTGTATCACGTCAAGTTTTTGAGAAAACCTTAGTCAAAGTTGCTAAAATAGCGTTATTGATACTTTTGCGTAAGTTATATCTTTCGATGGGGACGTGCTCCAGAAGACAGCGATAGCTCAAAATGAAAGTCAAGATTTATACTTTATGATAAAAATGTTAAAAGTCCCAAAAGGCAAGAAAGGCTTTCCTGAAAAAAAATGGTTGAAACATAAAAAACATCTATCACAGTGTCCCCCAGTAATATATCTTTCCAATTGTCCGTCGCTAAAACTTTTTAAAAAATCATTTCAATCATGGAAGTCGATATGTATATGATTGCCTGGTCACTCATCACAAATTACATATTGAAATTTCAAAATTAAAAATGGAGGATCCAAAATGGCGAATAAAATTTTTGTAAAATTATTAAAATTATGGAAGTAGATATGTATAAGTTATGTGTGGTTGCTATCACTTAAAATCAAAATTAGAGTAGTTTTTGGCACTAATATTTTAATAACGGACAATTGGAGACGAATGACTGGGATAAATAATGTTTCTCGTGTTTCGACCACTTTTTTTCAGTAAAACCTTTCTTGCCTGAGACTTCTGATATTTTTCTCAAAAACTTGACGTGATACGCCATTTTTACGGCCAGATTCG